ATGCTGTGAATAAAAGTAAAAAATAAAATTACTTTTGGGAACCGTATATTACTTATTTCTACAACCATACTTACCATAGCTTAACCCAAAAGAAAAGTTAAGAATATTATATGAATAAAGTCAACAACATTAATTCTACTGATTTTCAATATACAATTCATCTAATAGTCTTAACAAATTCAAACAAAACCAATTTATCAATTAAAATTAAACTAAAAAATCAATAAAATAAATTATAATTATGATCTTATCAAGGTTTAAAAATAAAATTATATATAGAAAAGTTGATATTTAGTATATTTTGATTAAGTAAAAAAATACTCAAAAGGGGTAACTCTGTGAACTTAATGATTTTCCAAAAAAAGAATAGAGTGGCTCATAAGAAGAAAAACTAAAGGATATTTATAAATGTATGAGATAACTCTGAATTTTATGGTAATAAGTATGTATAAATTTTACTAAATCATAATAACCAGGATAGAAATACTCTGTTTCGTAAAGATTACTTAATTCTAACTAAGAGATTTATCATTTGGTACTTATCTTATATTCGAAATGCTATTTCATAGTTTTTTTTTCCTTAATTCCTGTCATCTCATATAATGAAGCCATTTACTAGCAATAGTTTATAGTTTATCTAATAATAAAGATTAAAAACAAAATATTCCATTTTCGTTGTTTCAATACAATCAGCTTTTACACCTATTTATTATTCTTAAAACTTTAGAATTTTATCTATAGTCTACCTTTATTTTCATTTTTCTCTTCTTCATTCTGGTCATTCTAAAATGAGTAAATTACAAAAAAATAACCTCTGATATTATTCTTATTAAAATAAAACAATCATAAAGATATATTAATCATATGTAATATGTTGATTTTTTTATATTATCGTTCAAAGAACTTATAATTAGTTTTAGTTTTTTATTGAATATTTATAGTTGAAAGTTTTGATGTTGAATTATTTTTAGTCTTTATTTATTGTTAATCACTATCTCCTTTTTTTTTTAATTTGATTTCATTAGAACTATTTCAAAAATAAAAATATAGTTATCCCATTATGAGCGATACTTTCCTTCATTTTAAAATTTTTTGAATGAATCAATGTATATTGACTTTCGATACCCCTATTAAAAATTAATTAATAATTAAAACTATCCCTATTAATCACAATAGTAATTATAAAAAATAATAAAAATATTTAATGATTCAATCAAACAAAAAACTTATAATATGTTTTTTAACAATAGTTTTGATAAGTTTTATTAATGATGTTTTTTTATGTAATTGTCTAAAATTATTATTCTTGTTATTATATAAGTTTATTAATATAAATAAATATACATTTAGAGAATTTTTAAGATAATTTTTTTCTATATTTTCTTGCGTTTATAAAAATTTATTTTTTGAAAGGGTTCATCTAATTATTATAATTTAGAAAGCTCTCAAATCTATTGAATTCAATCAATCCCCTTTAAATTGGTGGATAACTTTTATTTTGGCTTCTACTTTTAGTCTAAATTATTCCCAATTTACATATTTTAAGTCTGTATTAAATGAGAAACAAATTGACAGATATCTACACCTGAAAAAATGGGGTCATTTGTATAATGAACATTAAAAAAGGCTATCTTTAGGAAGATTGTCCAGATTCTTGAAAATGAATTCATGATCGTCATCTTGACATTTCATGAAGAATTAATCATCATTAAGCCGGCCATGGTATTTTTTATAGCCTTAATCTATTCACTCATATTATGATAATCAAGATTTAATTTTGCCTTATTTATGTCGTTCTAATTAAGTTATTAATTCATACATTTTTAAGTTTTTATAAATGATCTTCATACTCAGAAATTTTTCAATCTCAGAAGTATTATTTAATTTAAATCAAACCTAAACAACAGGCGATGTTATTAATTTCATTGAGTTTAGCGAATATACAATTTCGAACTCAAAATAATAAAGGAATTGAATCCAAATATCTAACTAAGGATAAAACTAATAATTTTATTGCAATTTTAATAAGCTTTTTATGTTAAAACCCCACTAGGCAAAGATAAATTTTATAATGTAATTAATAAGAGAATCTTAATATATAAAAAATGCGAATTTTCATCTTTAGAAGTCTTAAATCATTTTAAAATGCCATCAAACTTTACAAAATGGCAAATAGTTAAATAAATCCTCCCTTATCACTTAAGAATTTAAGTTGATATTTTCAGAATAAAATTAATTCATTATAATATTATTAATTTCTTGTTATTGATGATACTTTATTAATTTTCAGTAAATAAATTTTAGTTAGAAAAATCAAAAAAAATAAAAATTAATGGGCTTAATATTTACACATAAATTTATTTATATTCTAATTGTATAAAAGAAAATAATAGATAAATATATAATTGATAAAAATTTAAATAATACCAACTTTTTCTATGAATCAAATATAAAGAGTTGGTCTATCAAATAAAATACAACAACTCTTTATATTTAGAAAACTCATTTCAAATGTTGACAGGAAAGGAATAAAGTAGGAAATTCAAAATCAAGTTTTAGAATTGCCTTAGCAATTCAAACATATTTCTGTAACATAATAATAAGAAATTATACTAAATAGCTTAAATAGTTTATATATAAACTAAATATGTTTTTGATTTCAGTTAGGTGTTCTGTATGTAGGAAACTTAAATGAATTATGATTAATGAATACTTTATAGCCATCTAAACAAGCTTATGAAGAGCTAAACGCTTCGTTACCACCCCCAAAATAGGATGGGTCTCTCAATTTTACAATTATATTTGGGCAAATGCTAATTGACTTAATTTCAAAAGGAATCTTGTTTGATCGGTCTAATGACTATCCTTGTTAAATTTAATAAACAGTTCCTTAATAATTGCATTAGCTATAAAAATAAACATATTTGCAATTATTGTTGTTTAAATTGGAATTAATAAATATTACTTTTATTATAGAAGCCACAGGCTAGAATTTAACAGATAATATAGAAAAAGATTCCATACATTGTTAATTTTGAATAATTTTTTAGGCCTAACCTTAATAATTAATCTAATTAAAAAGATAGAATTGCTTTTAAGTGGAAATCATTAAGGATTTGACTTAATTGGTCCATCCTTTTTATAATAGATCTGGAATATTATTACAAATAACAATAGAGTCACCATTGTAATCGCATTCAGAAAAGAGCTCTGCACAATTAGGTTGAACAATTTTGATCTGAGGTTGAGGAAAATACAAAGATACTTAATCAAAAAAAGCATAAGAAGTAGTTGAGTCCCCTAATGTATGATCAAATTATCATACATACAAATAAATTATATATTAAATTAGGAGTTTAAGGACCATAAATTACATAACATCTTACATTAGCATTTTTGTCAAATTTGTAACCTCTATAAGCAAATATGGGAAGTCTATCTTAATTCAAGTATATTGAAGGTATCAGAAAAGTTGCTTGCCTACTTAAATATCCTATGCTTCCATATTAATTTCCATATAAAGGAGGATTGAAAATTTCAGCTTAAGCAGCAGATGACCATAATGATTGATCTGTACCCAATAGAATATTAAATCTTACATATTCTATTTAGGAATCTGAATAAATACTAACAGAAACATCAATACTTTTTGATTATACTTATTCAATCTAAAATTGCATATATTAACAATTTACTTTGACTTCCACTATTTGATTACTCTTTATATGTTTCACTCCATTCAAAGATATTAATCCATTTGTTGCATCTTTAAATTCATGATCTATTGAAAAAGTTATTGTTCTATCCCCTGTACCAGTTTAAAGTTCCTATACATCATTTTATTAGAATGTAATAACAGAAATTCTAGAGTCCTAAAATGCAAACCATTTAATTCTTATTGCAAAAAGTTAAGAAGCAGCCACTGCAAGTGTGTTCAATAGAAATCCTTTAAAAATGATAATTTCAATTATTTACCTGTTCTTGTTATAAGAGTAGCTTTGACAAGGAATCCATGAGGTAATTCTAAACTCCAATCATAATAGTGTGGTGATAGAAACAATTCAGGTGGAGTATCAAATACAGTCTAAAAATTGATAGCAGTTTATATCTATCTCGGATATATTCTTGAATTCTCCAAAATGTGATTACCTCCAGAAGTCATAACGGTTACATCTCCTACTTCATAACGTGTTAAAATATAGCTTAACACGAATTATATGAGTGCTGGAAAAATGAAGATAAGCATAATCTTGTTATAAATATAAAAAAATTAATTTTATTATCCGATTATGATCTAGATAAGAATCTAGAAATCCAATTTATATACCGGGATTATTAGTTCTTTCTTTTTTGATCAATTAATCCTTAAATATTGATACAAAAGAGTGATAATTAATTTTCTCAATTTCTTCATTTAGGGTGGTAAGAACTTTTCTTTTTAATTATAAATATTAATTATTGAAATTCTTTTGATTTTCTTTATTCATATCTTTTATATAAATCTGATTCTGCTACCTGAAGTTGATTGTCTTAATGATGGCTTGATATATGCCAATTAAATAAAAAGTAAATAATTGCGAAGTGAAAATATAATCAAATAGACTTAATCATATCAAATTTCAAAATTAAGATTATAAGAAACTCAGCAAAGTTATTAAGTTATAATGGAAAAGGTATTTTTTCGTTCCTCATATTCTAGAAGAATAATCAATAATAATAATGAAATTTCATTCCCATTAATATTCGATATTGATATAACAATGCAATCGTCTTTCTTCAACAAATTCAATAATGATTTCAATTTTGGTATTTCAAACATATTTTCAATTTCTTTAACTCACAATTTTATGGCTATACACTTTACTTGTCTTTGAAGAATGAACAATTTATAGTATTACTATTTCTTGAACTTTTTTAATAATAATTAGAACAACTTTTATAACAAATAATGGAACTGATTTATCCTAATTTAGACTCTCCTTTTTTATTTTTAGTTTTCTTGGAACTCTATAAAGGTTTTACTAATATCAAAATGAAGTTCCTCTAGTATTTCAAATTATGTATAATTGAATTGATTAGCGAAATCAAATTTTTAATTTAATAGTTTTATACTTAACAAAATTTTTTCTTCTTCTAGTCTTAATTAGAACATCATATAGGCTTTGAAAATCTCAGACCTTAAATCTAAATTAAATTCTAGATATTAATAAAAGGTCCTCTTAGTAAAAAATTTCAAATGGAGCAGGTTTAATATTTAAAAAAAATAATAATAATGAGGAAACAGATTATTCTGATTATAGTATTAAATTAAATTCTTTCTGATACTCTATTTTAGGGTTTATTTGCATGTTAAAATCTCTCTATACTATTTTTAATATGAGTATTGTAAATTGCAACAACACTAATGAGTAAATATCATTACAGTATTCAAAATACTCAGGATCAAAAATTTTGAAAAAAAAAAAAATGTTTTAATAATCAGAAATCCTATTAGTAAGAAATAAGCATCTGAGCACTATTTTAGCTCTATTTTTTTCCCATTAATTAAATTTGCAAATGATATTTTTACTTCAATTTATGACCAATTTCTTAAAATAAATTTTCTACTAAACATATAGGAAATAAAAATGCATCTTAAGAGCTCAATTAGATTAGAATTAGTAGGGTATTAAAGACTAACTGGACTAGTTTATATTGAGTTATTACATTAAAATTGAGTATGTAGTACAATAAATTTAAAAAGTATTGCATCAAATTAACTTTCAATAATATGTTGAATCATTCGGTTTATCTAAAATTTATTAATTGAGTTAATATGTATTTATATCATTTTTATTTCATAGACTTATAATCTTTTTTTTTAATTAATCTTATTGAAAAATAAAATTATAGGGCTATTAATTTCTTGCAGTTATTAACTATTATAAATTATTGTAATCAAAGTCATAAAATAGATAAAGAATAATATTTTTTCTAATAAATAATATAAATTTGTGTTTTTATTAATTTCTTTTTTGTAATATTTTCTAATCAATTTCCTTAAAAAAACTCTGAATTAAAAAAAAAATCTTAATTTTAAATAGAATGAAGTAAGGATATGATTCCAAAATTAAAAATTAATTTTTAGGATTGAAAAAACCATTTTAAGGCAAATATATTTGAAGAAATTAAAAAATATGAAATAATCATTTTTTGTGTACTAATTTTAATGCAGTATTTCCTATAATCAAGAGAATTCATGTTCTTTATTCGATTAATTTTTGGGTAATTATATCAAAAAGTTACTTCAAATTATTACTTCAGATAAAGATACTTAGGCAAGGTCTAGTTTAGGCTCTAGGATGGGATTTAATCGATGTATTATTTTATTTAAATTAATTATAATTTATTCTAGAATGATGATAAATTTCTCCTTATGATTTATTCAGATATTTAAAAATTTAAAACATCGAGGATGAATACTTTTACAATAATTCAATAAGAATTTAATTCCATTTTATTTATCATCTAAATATATTTTATTTGTTATTTATTTGTAAGAGATGAATGAAAAAATAATAAATAAATAGTTCAAAAAATCAAAGTTCTAAATAGAATGATGAATCTGACATTATTTTAGCTTTAGCATGTTTTCGATATAAAAGTTGCATTCACCAATCACTGGATAATTGTAATTTAAATTTTTTAAAAATTATTTTAACTCAAAAAAAATTAATCGATTTCTTAAACTTTATTAAATTTAGAGATTTACTATTATTTGCTTTTTAATTAATCTTTGATTATAAAAAATAATATAAAAAATATTAAAGTCATTTATATAATTTAGATAGAATAGAATTATATATGTTTGATTGTGAAAATCAGGTCATAATTATCAAGAGATTAAATTTTTTAAAGATGAATTGTTAAGTCAAAAAGCTTTTTTGATTACTTATATTGAAAAACATATTATACATAAATAAGCCTTTAAATCATTCCAAATATTTAATTAATAGTAAAAAATAATATCTTCTACAAAGCCAAAAATAATATTAAAAAGGATGAGTAAGATTATTTACTTTAAGTCAAAATCTAAAAATGTCATTTGATACAGCAGTTGATAACTCATGAATATTTGAAATAGTTTTTAATCATTTTTTGTCTGATAAAGATTCAATTATATCTCCATTTTTGTCAATAAAAAGTTTGATTTGAGTTCATATTTTTTCATCCAACCATAAACATTTTAAAATTGAATTAAATGCTAATAATTAATAATTCCTTATTAAAAGAAAATCTGAGATATAGTTTGAAAACTATGGCTTAAAATAAAATTATTAATTTATTGAAACTAAATTTTGAAAAATTATTATGAGAAAATATAATAGGATGATATATTGTGTTATTTTTTAGATATTTATTACTTCAATTTATATAAATAAAGTTCGGCATTAAAAAGATAACTTACCATTTATAGTTAACTGTCCATATACCAGAGTTTCTTGATATCATTGATATTCTTGAATATTGTATTTTATTTAAATTATTCTAAATAGTTACCTAACAAATTAAACCAAATGTAATATTTCTAATCAATATTAAAGTGCTAGATCAAGATATTTAAATATTTAATAGTCTTATATCTTAATGATAAAGATAATTTTTTTTCCAATTAGAATCATCATTATCATTAAATAAATTAATTTGCTTAAAATAAATAGTCATTAATATTTGCAGCTAAATGATTAATAAAAAATTATAACAATCATAAAAGAATTAATACTTTAGTAATAATCATAAATGCAAGATGTTTTGGAGTGTTTATCAAATTTTTAATCACCATTTTAAATACATATCCTTGAGATTTTTTATAGGAACTCTAAATATTACTTGAATGAAGATAATTAACTATACAAAAATAATATTTATTTGCATTACTCTGATATCCAAGACTTTCTAGAATTGATTTAAAATATTTAATATAGATGAGATTTGAGTAAAACCACCAGAATCTCAAGGATATTTATTGTAAGAATAGATCCATAAATTAACTTATCTACTTGATTTCTAAGGTTGCTATGTAAAAGAATACGAAGCAGTGTAGAAATGTCTTGCACTTTTAAAAAGAAAGAAGATGTGTATGAGGTTTTAGTATAATCTAAAGATAATCATGATTCTTTTACAAGTGTAATCATTGATATATTGAGAAAAGAAAAGATTTCTGAATGTCTAAAGTTTCTTTCAAAACCTGAAAATTAAATGAATTATCAAAAAAATATTAGATCATGATTTTAATTAAAATGATTATTCTAAAGAAATCTACACAGAAACTAGGTAAGAATTAATTTAGAAAATATATGAGAATTAAAGATTAGGGAATTTTTTAATTTTTAGTTAACCTAAAAGTTCTAGATCATAAAATTGATAAGGGGGAATCAAATTCTTTTAATTTATAAGTTGAAATGAAAGTTAATTTAAATAGCAATCCTTTAAAACATCAAGATTAAAGATACTTCTTTGATTGGAGCAATTAACACTAGTGTAATTTGAGGGAATCTGTATTTTCAAATGTATACATAAGTGGTGCCAATTTAAATGGAGCTTTATTATTTAATTTTATATGGAATAATTAAAAATGCAGGAATTACTTTAAACTCGATGGTCATAATGATTATGTCCTATCTATTTGCTTCTCTCCTGATAGTTATTAATTAGTTTCTTGTCGTAAAGATAATTCTATCCATTTATGGAATATAAGAACAGGAAAAAAAATAACCTAATTAAATAGTCTTTAATATGATGTCTATTCAATCTGCTTTTCTCTTAATGGCACTACTTTAGAATCGATTCGTCAGGATAGTTTTATTTTTTAAGTAATGTTAAGATAGGAAAAAAACTATGTAAATTAAAATGTCATAACTAAATTTTAAATTCATTAAGCTTCTCTCCTTATGGTAAAATATTAGCTTCTGATGGTTCAAATAAGTCAATTAGTTTATTGGATGTAAAAAAGGACTATAAAGCATAATTTTAGATGGTCATAGCGGTAGAGTTCAATTAATACGCTTCTCTCCAACTAGCATCACATTGTCGTCTTCTAGTGGAGATCTTTTTATCCATTTATGGGATGTTTAAAAAAGGCCAATAAAACTTTCAATTATATGGTCATAGTATATTGATTCAATCATATACCCAATATACTCATTTTGAAGCATATGGAGCTCTAATTGTTAAAGGAGAATTTCATAATCATTAAGGCAGAGATTTGCGATATTTATTCAAAGAAAGATCAATTTTTATTTTGGATAACCAAATTGAATTTTCATGATATGAAATCAATAATTTATATGTACAACATTATAAACAGTCAATATTATCAATTTTTTATTTTAATGGAATTTAAAAATTCATTATTTTATGAGTTAGAGAATCAAAATTTATTATAATTTTTTTTCTACTTTGAATAATTAATATATTTAATATTTTAAATAATATTATATCAAATATGATGAAAATTTATTTCATTTAAATATAAATTCCTAAAAATAAGATCTAAGAACAAAGAGACAACTCAGTGACAAGTATATGACTCGGTTCATATTACTTAATCTCACGGAACTGGTCTAAAAGTTATGGAGGTTTCTAGAGCCAAAGCTTTGACAGATAGACGATGCACCTGTCTTCATTTCTTAGAAAGAAAGATGGCTGCCTCTTTAAAAGCTGTACAAAAGAACTGGGAATACTTAATCTCTCAGAGCCTCTTCCAAATACAATCCTTAGATATGGATTCACATTCGTGAACCCTAATATAAATTCACTCCAGGTTCCTCACGGTTCAACAATTTTGTTAAAAATAATTACATTGAATCTATTTATACATCATAATTATAATTTTCACAATGACTTTTTCTTAGGTTTATTCATTTTCATTAGATGATAATGATAAATAGATGCTCTATAAAAATAGCTTTTAAAAAAAAATTACTCAAAATGTAGTATTCATTGACATTAATTCAGGATTGTACATAATTAATAGAGATACTAAGAAGCCGTATTTAATTTTACGACAAAGCAATCTTAACTAATCCTCTGTATTTTACTGCATCAAATAATAAGGGTAAAATTTTTAAGGATGATTATTTAGATTTTTCATTAAATAAATTACAGAAAAAACTAAGAGACTATTGAATGTTGCGACCAAGATATCTTAAATAATCTTTAAAACCATTCTGCTAATTTGAAAAACATATTAATTTAGGTCTTGCATTAGATAAATTATGTTAATACTATGAAGCTATTGAGTATTACCACAAGGCTATCTTAATTAATCCTAAATTTGATTAAACATGAGTCAATAAAACCAAGATATCTTAAATAATCTTTAAAACCATTCTGCTAATTTGAAAAACATATTAATTTAGGTCTTGCATTAGATAAATTATGTTAATACTATGAAGCTATTGAGTATTACCACAAGGCTATCTTAATTAATCCTAAATTTGATTAAACATGAGTCAATAAGGGTATTAATTTTTGAATATTATTATTTAAGCTAGGTTTTAGATATTAATTGATATTCGTTTGTGTTGTAACTAAATTCCAGAAATATGAAGGAGCTATGGAGTGTTACTAAAAAGCTATCTTAATTAATCCTAAAGATGATTCTGCATGGAGTAAAAAGGTATCTTATGTTTTAATTTAGGAGTTGCATTAAAATTCTATAACAAATATACTAATACATATATTAAAGAAGTAAAAAGAGTTATGAGATTCGCCATGGCTGCTTAACAGAATCTCTAAATATTTTAATTAGGGAACAAAAATGAAGCTAAAGAATTATATATGGCTGCATTGGAAAAAGATCAGATAGTAAGAATATGTAGAGAAATATTTATAAAAGTTATGAAAAATTATTATATCATAAATTTTATAGAATAAATCAAATAAATATTGACAGAAAATGAAAGAATTGTAATAAATATTAATTTTTAGTGAGTATCCATTTGGAAAATTTCTGAATTCTAAGGCCGAAATCAATAATAGAAATCAAAGTAAACCTGATTATTGTTACAATTAATAAATTCTAATTTAACTAAGAACTAAGAAATATTTAATCATGTTTTAATTGTAAAGTAAACTCAACCCAATGAATATTTATTTCACTTAGCATCACATTTAATAAAATAATTTCATAATATTAAGCAAATGCATTGTAAGATTAATATTTTCTGAATTAGCCTTACCCAATAGTCTATAGTTCTCTATCTCATTTACTCCAATTTAATCAAATAAATTAAATTCATTTTAATTTATTTGATAAAACAATTATCCAATGATTTATTTTCTTTATTTATATTTTGATATTCTATCTTTGATCTTCAATTCTAAAAAATTCATTTTGAAAATAATTTGAATATCTCAAATTAGAGACAATCTTAAAAAAAGTAATTAAATTGGATCAATTATTAATTATATTCAATATTTGACCTAATAAAAATGAAAAAAATCACCCAATAATATTGAATAAACTTAAAAATTAGACCTTCCTTAAATTGAATTCTTTTTAGGGACATCTCATTTTTAGTATTTGTGAATTTTTTCATAAAATACTTAATTTTCCATCTATAATTATTAATAATATCGCTAATTAATAATTTATATTGTTAGTAATTTTTTAATAGAAATACATTAATAATTATATCTTAATAATAAAAATTAAAATTTAATAGTCTATCAATTGTAAACTAATTGGAAAATAAAGCATAAGAATGCCTTTAAGGTGTTTAATAATTATATGTAAGTTAATTTATTGAATGATTTGTCCTCTTATCTGGGAGTAAAAATGGATAGAATATAATATAGTCTATGAATGAAAATAGTTAATGGGTGTATCTAGATAGATGAGTGAAGATGGAAAGTATTTGATGACTTGGGATTACATATCAAAGGAAATTTAAATAAGAAAAAATAATTAAGTATTAGTAAGAATGAATTATTTTTATAAATATTAAAGCCTTTTATTCATTTATTTTAATATTGTTGAAGAGATTTTGTAAATTATATAATATACTCAATCATAAACATAATTTATTATTAAGTTTAAATAAAAAGTAAATATTATTAGTAAAATAGAGGAAAATATACAAAATAAGAATTAAATAACTAGTAATGACTGAAAAAATAAAAAAATTTCAAGACAAAATTATTAGTTATCTAAATAAAGCAGAAAGGCTAATTTGCAATCTAAACTTAAGTTGAAATTTTATCTAATCTCATTTGATTTTGAATCCACCTGCAAAAAAAGATCCTAAAAATCTGATAATATGATTAAAAATGCTTTAAAAATTTTTCAACAATTAAATTCATATTTAATATTTTGATCAAACTTAATTACTTTAAGACTACAAAGATGTCAATTCAAATAAACTGGCTAGATTTTTCAAAATTCAACAAAATATTTGATGAAATTCATGCTATTAGATTATAAAGCATATAAGTTTAAATTTCTAGACCAAACAATATCTACATATAAAGTCTCAAGTCTTTTATCAGATCCAGGTCAAATTAAGTCCACTATTGGGATTTTTCTATATAAACATTTAAATGATCTTTATTGGGTAAAAAATGAAGGAGTTACCTCACATCATCTAATGAGAATTTTGTTTAAAAACTACTCATCATATATTACTCCATTTAGCTAAATACACCATTGAACAATGAGAGATTTTGAAATTATGTACACTAAATTATATCAGTAAATTCAGTTGTCTTATTTAAAAAAGCTAGAGTAAACTATTATATTAAATTTAAGAATTTTAAACGTCAGTTAATTCCTATTCTAATTACTAAGTCTTTTCATATCATTTTTTTAATTAGATCTATTAAATTTATTAATCTATATTCGCATTAGAAAAGAGTTTAGTAGGAAAAAATTAAATCAATATTAAACTCATACAGCATTAATTTGCCAAGGTAAATATAATTTTATAATAATTATAGTAGTTTTGTATCAATATCTAGATTTACATTAAGACTCTTCTAATTAATTTACTATGTATTTTTCTTAAATACTAAAAGAAAAAGAATTACTATTTTCCTTACAATCTTTTTTTGAATGTTATACAATAAGCTTTGAGAATGTTATGATACTCTTCCATACTGATATTCACATACAATAAATAAAATTAAAAGACACTTAATTTTGTTTTAAATATATTTTATTTAATCATCATTGATTAATCTAATTAAACCTAGTAGTGTGGTTAGAATATATTTTTATCAACAATTGAAAAACTTAACAATAACTTATCTAAGTTACTTCAGAATGGGAGAACACCAACTCAAAAATATTAATTATATCTAAAGAGGAATTAAAAGGTTTTTGGTTGGATATTTTTTCAGCTTAATTTGAAAATAAAATATTTTTATTTGATTGGCGTAAATTCTAAACAGATAGAAATAAATTGAATTTTTGATATAGTATGATGTTTATAATGTAATAGTTGAATAATTAACATTACTAAATAAAAAATGTTTTTCAGGATTTTTTGTTGTGCTAATTGATAGAATCTTTATAGATTTTTTTCTTAATTCCTATAGAATTTTTTTATTTTTATTTTAGTTTCAACTTAGGAGCTTGTGAATTTAGGGATTAATTGGATTCCTACTCTACATTGATTGGATTTGGAAAATTGATATCAAGCTATTATTTTGTCTTTTCATAATAATTTCTAAATTTGATTTAAATATTTACTATGCTTTTAAAATTACATCTTGCATTTTGGGCCTATTGTATATTTTTTATTCTTTGAATTATTAAGTTGTTTAATCGACTGATGATATTGAATTTATAACTGATTGTAAGACTTTTTAATCAAATTTTGATTAGAGATTAGTTTATTCCAAATTTTATGAGCACATTTGAATATTCTAATTTAAACTATATGTTTTGTAAGCATCAATATAGCTTTGAAACTCCTCTTTTAACTCTGGTGAAAGTTGCTCTAATAATTATTTCGCATTAAGTTTTTCTTATTGTAATACTTAGTATAATTTAGAATCAGATTTATATTAATACTATTAGTCATACTGAATGCTATTTGATAAATTTGACTAAAGCACAATTTTATTTCTAGCAATTATTTTCATGGGATGTTGAGGATCATTTTAAAAATGTTCATTTACTGCTTTTAATGAGTATATTAAATTAATAAAGTATTAAAGATTTTCAAAAATATAATATCGAATTAGTTATTCTTCTTATTATTATTTTTGGTTAAGTTTTAGGATTTAAACCTATTTTTATTATTCACATGCTGGATTATTATAGATGGGTTTTTAATTATGATAAGCTGATCCACTCATAATTAATTATATAATGACGATAATATTAAATAAAGTCACTCTAAAACTGAAGTAAATAGAATTAAAATAATATTCTATTGTATTAAAAATAAAAAGGAAATTTTTGGAGAAATAATAAATTGAAAAGTTATTTCATTTATTAAATTTACATATTTTAGAATGAATATCATATTTCTAATAACTATAATCTAGAAGAATATATTCTAATTCATTATTAAACATTCTTGAACTATTTTAGATCAATTGATTTTATATTATAAATTTATGTTAATAATAACATCAATTAATATAGAGTTCATCATGATTAACTAATATCCAATTTTGAATAATCATTTCTAAACAATTTAAATAAATATATTTGATTTTTGTACCAAACTCAAAACTTGTATGAATAATATCATAGTAAACTAATTTTAATCTAGATTTTCATCCTAAAATATAATAGAAGATTTTAAATAATCAAATATTAAGTATCTCACTCTTAAAGTCTTGCATAAAATTAGTTGAATTATATATCTATTTCTTCTCAAATGTTATATTAAATTAAAAATGCATATAAATTTATTGAAATGTTAAGCAAAATAATTTTCTCCTAAATTAAATGCAAGACTCTGATTAGATGAATTAAGTAAGTATAGAATATTCAATTATTTATCTTTTTCACATTTACTTTTTTTTGTAGCATATAGTTGATATTTTATAAATAAAAATAATTAAACAATATAGATTAGAAATGACATCAATTAATATGACAGATACAAATTAATCACAAAATAGTCAGCAAGAGATTTAACAAAGCAATATTTTAATTGAAGATGCAGTGAAAATTCGTTGGAACATCTGGTGTGGATCTAGACAATTTGTGAAAATATCTATTATAATCAGAAATAATAATAATGAAGAACTTATTTATATCAAGAATGATAAAATATTAAGATAGTAAATATTCAATATTATAAAAAGGGAAAAGATATTAGATTTAACAAATAATATTGAGTTAATGAAAAATGTAGAATAAATCAATCATTTAACTTGGAGAGGTTTATTTTCAAATTTAAAGAACAAAATTGGAATATGGACTGCTTATTGGAAACTTTAAAAAATAAATGTAGGAGGATATTATGATTAGATGAGTTAAAAATAAGGAAAGTGGATAGAGATTTTTGAAAATTATTGTGAGTAATTCTCTCTATTTAAATACATAGTGTTGCAAATGCTATTTATATAGGCAAATATAAAAATGGGTTAAAATGTGGGATATGGGAAACAATATATAAGAATAAAATAATGTAATATTAGTTTAATGAAGTGGTCTTGGATTATATGATACATAGGGTTCAAAAAATGGTGCATGGATAGATCTACATGATAATTTTTATGAGTATTTACAGATAGCATTTTTATCTATAGTGAATGTTAAGTTACCTTTTATGGTAATTATAATAATGGAGTTAAATAAGGATCTTGGGTAACTAAACATAAGGGATACTATGGAAAAGAGTATCATAAGATGTATATTTTTATTTAATATTAGAGGAGGTGGATTATATAATGAAAAAGGTATGAAAATAGGAATTTGGAAGGAAATTAATGAAATTTTCAATGAGTATTAAAAGATAGAATCTTAGCAACTCTTAAGTAACATATATTGGTGTATATAACAATGGTAAGAAATAGTAAAGGTGGATAACAAGCTTTTATGATTGTGAAGTGTATTTAACTAAGTAAATTTATTTAGTGGAGAAGGTTATTATGATAGCAATGGATAAAAAATTAATAAGTGGATTGAATTACATGAAAATTTTGGAGGGTATAATTGAATTTAATTGAAAGAGGTTGTGAAGTAATATATAAGGGATTTTACAAATTTGGAAATAAATATGGTATTTGGGAAATATTGCATAGATAAGATGTAGATAATTAATTTTAAGTGATGTATTATTCCATTTAATCAAGCGGATATTAAATGTTTAATGAATATGGTGGGAAAAATGGGATTTAAACAGAATTACATGAAACATTCTTAAAGTAATAAAAAACATTATTAATTAGTGATTATTAGATAATATATGTTGGATCATATAATAATGGAATAAAATCTGGTTAATGGGAAATCAAATATAGGGAAAGTAATACAGAGGAATTCATCAAAATGTATGTAATTGTATTATTAGTGGTGAGGGATAATATGATGAAAAAGGATTGAAAAAAGGTATATGGATTGATATAGATGATGATTTCCATAAGTATTATTAGAATAAAATTTAGTTATAACAAACAAATGACTATTGGATTATATATTTCAGGAGAAAAATCAGGATAATTTATAACAAAAGAATTAGAATGAATAAATATTTTTAATTATGATAATATAAAATCATATTAGACAATAATTATTCATTAAAATTGCCAGTTGTTAAATATACTGAATTATATATATAATAGGAAAATATGATGAGTGTCAAAAAATATAATGATAATAGATTAATTCTATGTTTATGTTTAGATAAATTTGATAACAATAACCAAAATAGGTCCTTTACTAGAAAGAGATTAATGTTTATATTTCATCAGCAATTTTCTAATCTATTTCCTAAAATAATAAGAGAAAGAAGGGTAGGGAAGCAATAATCAATTATAGCATATATAAACTATACTAAATTCTAATGCAATCCAATCAAATCTAAAGATCATAAAAACATCTCAATTTATAAATAAACAATTAAAAAACTCATGATTAAATAAACTGCTAAAATTAATAATTAGAATATAAATTTAAACATCATAAACAGATCAGTTTTATTTTCAATAGAAAGTCAAAATATCTGATCCTAGATATAATCATTAGTTTTAATAGATCAAAAAGTTTTTATTTATTAGATATGAAAAAAGGCTCTAAAGATATTTATGCTTCTGATAAATTCGTCTCATTAAGCAAATAAATGCTTTTTAAAAATAATTATTTCAAAATTAGATTGACTAGATTAAAGGATTTTAAATATTGAAATTTGATTTAGAAAATCCTTTTGATTATATTATTAAACTATATATTGTCAGATATCTAGTAAATAATTAAAATTTACTATTTGATGTTGATAAGCTTATAACTCATATTTTCTTTTTCTCTCTAAATCAGATATTTAATAAATATCATCTTTGATTTTATTTTATAATCATTTTCATTTTTTCCAGATATCTAATAAAAAAATGTGACTACCCTAAAAATAGTTTAAAGTATATTAAAAATAAGAATCCGTTGCTGTAGTATAAATATGTGTTAACAAGAAACAATATATCGTAAAATAGTCTGGTATTTATTATGGTTTTATAAACTTAAAATTAATATTAGATAGAAAATATATTATATAATTTAAGTATATACCTATACAATTATTAGTTAATGAATATTAATTTAGAGTAAGTAATTATTAGATAAGATTTAAATTAATTTTTGAAAATGTATTCATATGGTTTTTGTATTTCTATATGTATTTATTATTAAAATTTATATAATTCTTTTCTTCCTAATAAATTAGTATAAAATATAAATGTAAATCATCTAAATCACATTAATCTTATTTATAATGATCAGCACTGCAAGATTTGAATATACAGAAACATATAATTAGGCTAAATTGGCAGATAAAATTAATCAAAGGTCTTTAATTTTAATATAATAATAGGTATCATCAAACTTAACAATAAAACTGGCAACTCCAATAATAAAATAACACAATATTTGATTTAAATTTGACTAATTAAAAGGAAATTTAGTTCAAACTATGTTCAGATATAGTAGATCCTGAAGAATGTTCAAAAGTTCATCCATCTGGTATTGATTGTGAATGGAATAATGGTGCATGTGAATCTAAGCATTCTTAAAATAAAATTACCTAATTAATGCAAAAAGAAAAATATCTAAAGAAGCTTGAAAAATAAGTATCAAGAGATTAATGTAGAGAAATCTTTGAAAGAACAAATTGTTTAGTTTCTAAAATATAAGGATTACAATGTGTTTGGGTGAATAATTAATGTTTAACAAACTGTAATGCTATATCTTCTCAAGTATTTTACAATTATAAATTAGGAATAATGCATCAGAAATATTGCTAATACAAATGCCTAAAAATGCTTAATCATTAAAAATCAAAATGACAATAATTCTCGTTTAAATTGTTCATAACTTCCTTCTGATTGCAAATATGATGATTTGAATCAATATAGTTGTACTTGGTAAAACAATTAGTGTCAAGTTGTTTTGTGTCATTAATTTAATAATGAATAGCAATGTAATGATTAATCATCTTGTTCTTGGCATGCTTCAATGAATATGTGTTTAACAAATACAGAACTAACATAATATGATAAGCCATGTGATATTTCAATGCAATAATCAATTTTAGGCATCTTTGCATTACTTCTTTTTATCTATATGTGATTAATTAATTTTTATTTGTATATACTTATTAATAGTGAAAATAATATTATATAAATACTTAGTCAATTATTAAAATATTAATGATAAATCATACAATTAATCTAATTTTCTAATATCACTATTAGTATATCTAGTATTTATGAGGAGAAATTTAAATAATTCATATAAATGAAAATTCTTTAAATCCATTTATACTAAATCTAAATTAATGATATTAATTTTTTTTATCAAGGAAATGAAGATCAATTTAATGAAAATATGAAAACTTTTACTAAAAGTTAAGAATAAGTTATTAATTTATTTATTAGAAGGGATTAATAATTATGAAAAGGTACTAAATAACAATTCAAGTTAAATAGATTTAGTGATGAGTATAATCAAAAGAATTCAGTCTTTATTATCAAAATCTTGCTTTTTATAATTGTATTAAATTTAGCATAGAAAGAATTAGTGAAATACTCAAAGACAAGATGACTAATAGATTAATTTAATCTATTAAACAAAATGGATAATTAATGTATTTAAATTATAGATATATTCTAATAAAAAATAATTTTAAGGTTAATTAGCATATCAAATTGATGATTTAATTCAATTTGAATAACATTTTAATTTTCTTATTTGCATTTTAAGAAAGTTCTAAAATATTGTTTAAATTTATTTAATATTTAATATTGTTCATTAATAAGTTATTAGTAAATTCAATTAGATTTAAATATGTATATCAAATGAAAATGGAATTTAACAAATTTTAAATTTTAATATTCGTATAAATTCTGTTTTTGTAAATATTTTATAAATTTTTATGATAATTAAGACATTAAATACTTATGTATTAGATTTCCTCTTTTTGGAATAATTTAAAAAATAAAGTTCAAAATCTAGTTGAAGTTTAAAATAATAATAATAAAGATAAGAGAATAATCTGCATATAAAATTTTCTTTTAAAAGAACTGAATTTAAATCATAAAGGAAAAGATCATTAAATAGAGAAATTAGTCTTTGTTCGAGATTCTCAACTAAATATAGGATCAATATAATGTTAAAATTGCTTTTAATAATAAGAATAGATTAAAGACTATTAATACTCTTTAGATTTATTAAAGATTTTAGAAGATGTTTACTATTTTATTGATTAAGTTTCTACTTAATTTAAAAATGATTAGTAATATTAAGAAGAGTAACCTTATCATTAACTCAAGATATTCCAGGTAATGAAAGAAACATTTGATATTAAATCTATAAATAAAGACATTATTTGGAAGATCAATACTTGTATTCTAGAAATAGAATCTCGGTTGTATTTCAGCATGGAGAATACTTTAGAATATTTTGGAAAGATTCATTATTAAAATATGAACAGAGTTTAGATGAATAGATTTATTTAGAATATTAAGAATTAGCAAAAATAAATTAATCCTTACAGATCTTATATTAAATTATTGCCAACAATCATTTCTATAAGAAAATTTCATCCCTAATCTGAATATATTTATTAATAAACAGTTTCTTATTAATATCTTGCTATTTTGATTAATTATTAAATTATAATCTATAACATAAAAAGTGGAGTTAAATTCAGTAAAGTTAATGTGGATTATGAAAATAACAAAATTATACTTTTTAAATTTACTAAAGATGAAAAATATTTGGTTTTTGCATATGAGAAACCAAATCATTTAATAATATATAATATGAAGGAGAAGATAATATTAAATTTACAAGATTAATAACCCTGTCTATATATGGCATGCTAAGAATATATTAATTTGAACTACTTGATTCTATATAATCAAAATTTAACTTTAAAAAAGTGTATTTCCTTAGAATATCAAACTTCTAATAATTTTGAACTAATAAATAAATTTTCTTTCCAAGAAAAATAAATCTAAACATTCATTTTTTATGATAAAATGGAAAAAAAATGGAAATCCTTCATAAGAAATGACTATGGTAGTATTGCTACAAAAAAAATTTAAATAACTAAAAAATTCAAACTTTAATTAGTCTAAACAACTAGAATGAATCGTCTTTATTATACTTTAATTTCTAATTAAAAAAAAAAGATAAGAAAAGTTACTACTTAAGATTAATATTAATTGAATACTTACTTTTTATCTAAAGATGAGACCTTTATAATATCTTCTTCATTATCTTTTTATGAAATTTCTACAGGAAAAATTACCTTTTAGATTAGACTAAGCGAAAATGAAGAGCTCTAAGATGTACAATTAGAAGATGATAAAGTAAAGATTTTGACTTGGGATAATCTGTATATTTATGATCAAATTAGTTAAAAAAAGACAAATAGTTGAATATTTATATTGAAATGATTTTTAATCTTTCACATTTTAAATTTTATCAATTTATTTAGTCTTATTTGTAATCATAGATTATTAATATGTTTAAGATTATGTAAATGATCATAATTTTTTATTTAATAATTAAAGTTTATTGACTTATTAAAAGAATTATAAGAATAGAAAATAAATTAAGATTTGAAATCTATTTATATTATTTATTGATATATTGATTTAATCAACTTAAAATTAGAAATGTTAACACTAATGCTGATGAAATTAATTAAAAATTAATTTGTTAACATGCAGTGCACTTTCCATTTATCCATTAATAATATCCATATGATTAGGATATACATGTTTCTTAATTTTAATTGGATGTATCAAAATCTTAACAATTTCCATTCTTATCATATTGACATATATAAGCATCAATCTAATTCATATATGGGAAAGCAAATAGACATAGCTAATCTCCTATTTGTTAACAAGAGGGAGCAGATAAACATTTATTCTATTATGTATTCCAAATACAATGATTATTTCCATATGCACAATTTCCATATTCTGCATCTTCACAATTTGTCCAAATTTAACATTTGTTGTCTTTATATATACATTTACCATCTATTCCTTAATAACAATTTGTTTAATCCAGTTCTGAGCATGATTTTTTTATTTGTTCTTTGGATTAACAAATTTTTGTTAAATTATTATAAGTGCAATCATGTTTAAGATTAGAGCAATCTTAATTATTTGAAACTTTATAATCCTAACAATTTGTAAATGTAGAACATTTCCCATTATTCCAAGCACAATCACTACTTTAACAAGCCTCGAAATTCATCTAATCACAAGATTTTTAAGAACAAACCTAATTAACAAATTAGCATTTGCTAAAATACTAACAGTCAAAAGATGATGTCAATTATTCACAAGTGCATTAATTACCTAAATAAATTAAGTCTTGAGCTAATGACAAGGTACTTAAACAGAAAATTGTAGAAATTATTTGTGAAAAATTGTTCATAAATTGAAATTAAAATAATATTTAATTAAATAGTTAGTATAAACAAATCTAAATTTATTAAAGAAAATAAATTTAAATTTAAAATACAACAGCATATAGATCAATAGAACTTCTTTAATGAATCTAATATTCAAATCATTAAGAGTTAACATTAAATAAGTTATAATCTTTGAAAATCACTATATGTATTTTATAAATATATATTTTTAACTTAATATAATATTCATTTTAGAGAAAAATAAAATTCATATATATTAAAAAAAATTATTTAAGAATCTAAGATATTTATAATAATAAATATAATTTCTACATATGTATAATTCCATAATTCTATTTTCACAGATACTTTAAAGTGTTGAAATAAAGATGATAGATATCATAAGATATAATTTTGGTTTATTGTTAAATATTGGAAAAGTTATTTGTAATTAGAGAGTTAAATAATATTTTGATAATAGAAAGAAAGTGAAAAATATGTTTATAGATTACAAAAATATAAAGTCTGATGAATTATGTTAACTGATTATTTTTAATATTCAATCCTTTTGAATAGCTCCTTTTTAAATGAACAACTCTTGAATTGATTTTTTTGATTTTTGAATTTTGGATTTTTCTGATATAATACACTAATGGGCTTATATCATTGATTATCGTCCAATTGATTTATAACATAAAATCTGTATTTCTTAATCCTAATTTTATTATTTTCTTATAAAGTATAAATTTAAATGACCATTTTCAAAACCAGCTGCAAAATTAGTACTATCAGGACAAAATTTAATGACTTACACATCAGAGTCTAAATTTCCACTTTAAGCAATTAGCTTACCTATTTTTACATCCCATAAAGCTATTACATTTTCAGCTGTTTCAAAACATCTATTACCAGATACTAAGAAATCACCTGTTGATAATAAAGATATAGATAAAAAAGAGTAATATTTTTTAACTATTTCAGGTTCTCCATAATAGATCTCATTTTCATTTTCATTCTTTAATCTATCTTCCCAATCTTTTCTAACAAATTATAAAATTTCTTTTTTTTTATAAAATTAATTCTGATCTTTAATTTCCCATATATCAATACAGAATTTTTAACATTATACCATTATTTTCCAATTTTCAGATATTTCGATAAATAAATAATTTTCATGTATTTTTTCTTCATTTATAAGATTCAATGAATTTAAGTTTAAAATTTGAACTTAAGCTGACTTTGATATTATTTCTTAACTATCTGGATATTTTTTTGTCTCGTTAATTTAGACTATTGCAAGATATTGTCCACATGGGGAATGAGAAATCAAATCAATGCTATTTTTATTAAGCTTTGTTAAATTTTATACTTCATATATTTTTTTTTTATATGTTTTTATAATTTTAATTGATTAATCTTCTTTTAAATAAGCTAAGTATTAATCATCTTCAGATAAAATTGCTTCACTGCCAATAAAAATATCTGATTTAATAACTTCTCTTAAATTTTAGATATCATGTAAAATAATTTAATTTTCAGGATGATTTGTTAAACAATATTTAGAACTAAGGGAAAAAGATAATATAGAATCTTCAAATTTTATATTTTAAATCTCTTTAATATCATTCAGATTTGAGAAATCTAGAAATATCAAAGACTAATTAGAGGCAATAGCTAAGATTAAACTTGATTTGCATTGCTAAAATGCTAATAAATCTCCATTGTATTCATAAGATCCTATTAATTCATATGTTTATGCATTCCATAGACTTAAATTTGGATTTAAAAAAGCAAAATATTAGTTATCTTTTGAAAAACCGTATACTTATTTTGAACCTAAAAAGTTTATGTTATTTCCATCTTATTATTCAGGTTTGCTGTAGAATTTTATTGGTTAACCAACAATTCTATTAGAAATATTTAAAATTTTAATATTGTGTTTATTAAAGATAGTAATCTATTATTTATTTGGATTATATCCGAAACCATTTATTATGAATTCATCAGGCATTGAAAAATAATCTATAATTTTCAATTTTTCTTTTATATCAAAGACATATATTGCATCTTTTTATCCAACTATCAATTTAAAGTCTTAGTAAAATTTAATAGAAAAAGTATGTCCTCTATAAAAAAAGGGAATTTTATCGAGTTCAATTATTTTAGATTTAATAATTTAAGATAAACACAATTAACATTCATCTACATATGCGATCACTGTTTCATTTACATTTGCGATCACTGTTTCATCTACTGAAAAACCAATCATTAGAGCATTTAAATTTAACTGGATTTCAGTTTTTAAATTTAAATCAAAAAGTTAATTTTTTTCTTAATTATTACTTTGTTCTTGTATGATAAATAAATAATTAAATTTATTTGAAAATAATAAATTACATCTTTTCAATTGAAATAAATTTGTCTAATCATAATTTATTAATAATTGAGAAGTTTTTGTTTGTAAATCCCAAATCAATATATTACCATTTCTGTATGCTGCAAAAATGTTGTAAAAATTTATTTAAGAAAATTCAAAAGTGATTAAATTAGCATTATTCCCCTCATTTAATTGATATTGCTACTCAGGATGTTCAACTTCCCAATAATATATTATTGAATCTTCTTTTTCATATGATGCTGCTAAATACTTTATATCAAATGACAAAGCCAATATTTAAAAATCTTCCTATTTTATAACTCCTGCAAAATTATTTTTATTTTGGTTTTCTATATTATTTATATTGTTTAACTCATATAATTTTATTCCAAAATCATTACTTTTTGTGATTACATATGAACTGTCAGAAGAAATATTTTAAATTATTAATTAATATGATGATTGCCTATCAAAATCATTAGCTGATACTTCATATGCTAAAACTTCTTTCTTTATAAGTTTAAAATCCCAAAAGGAAATTATTAAAGCTGTTTCCAAAACTAAAGTATTTAAATCTGGAGAAAGCATTATTTTTTATACCATTGGTAGATAAGCTTTATCAATATCGATCTAATTATTAGTTGACTCTATTCCCTCTATAGCAATTTTTCTTAAATTTACAGAAAATTTTATTAAAAATATTAATTCTTTAGAATTCTTTGAGTTGATAATTGAAAAAAATGATTCATATTTACATTTTCTAAGAGGTATAGATTTTCCATTTATTGTATTTAAAACATATAAACTTTATTAAATTAATTTTTATTCATCACTTGTATAAATAAATTCATTATTATTTATAAAAGTAAAACAGCATTTTTCTCTAGATACATTTTTATTTATAATATAATTTTTTTCCTAAATAACTTCTTTATTAAAAAAGCATAACTTCCCAATAAAATTAATAGAGAAAAAATTTGGATTTGTTGGTGATAAACAAATTGATTTACAAGAATAATCCAAGCTATCAATAAGATAGATTATTTTTGATTGGATAGGATTTAGTACATCCCAAATTCGAATAGTCATATTATCAAATCCTGAATATAAAAGTTTAGAACAATAAGAAAACTCTAAAAAGTTTATTTTTCCTTTATTATCCTTTAATTGAGTAATAAATTTCTTATCATATAGATCCCATAAAATTATAGTGTTATCAGAACTTCCTGAAGCTACCAATAGACCATCTTTCGAAAAAGCAATTGCATTCACTTATTTTTTATGACCTATAGAAGGATCATTTTATTCAAAGAAATCAATATTCCAAAGTCTTATAGTGTTATCTTCACTAGCAGTTGCCAAAACGAGTCCATCATAAGAGGAATTTAAACAATTTATCTTTTATCGATGTCCTTGAAAATTAGTAATAATTTTTTTATTTGCAATATTCCAAATTTAAATAGTTGATGGGTCTTGAAAGAAAACTACAGCCCATAATTTTTTTTAAGGGAAATAATGACTTAATAATATATCATATTTAGAAATTTCCAATTAAAGAAAAGTTCCATTTATTTGACCATTTTGAGATGTAACTAAATTAACTAAATAAATAATCCTATCTATTCCCTTTTTATTAAGTAAGATTAATTAGTTTTCATCAATTGCTTATATATATTCTATAGATAAATAACCATCAGATTTAAATGTTATAGGGTTCATATTCAACTTTTAAAAATCAAATACATAAAATTATTCACACACTTAAAAATAAAATATTTCTTCTTAATTCATAGAAAATAGATCGCAATTAATCTTAAATAAAGTATTTTGCTCGAAAATATTTTTTATTTTTATTTTTTAGTGCTATTTTTTTTTTAGAATTGCTAAATATTAGCTTTAGAAAAAATTAACATTCTAGAATTATTTCCCATTTTTATTACACCCTAAAACTTTTAAAGATTTATTCCCTTCAAGTAAATACCATCGTATAATTTTATCAGTAATAAAAAGTAATATTTTACCATTATCAGAAAATTTCAATGATATTTTTTTAATATTTTGTTGTTCAAATTAGTAATTTTATAAGTTTTTCTCACTAGAAAAATAGTCATTAGAAAAATCTATAAAAAATAAAAGTTTTTGATCTTAAATTTAAATCAATTAAATTTAATTATTTGTATATATAGCCATTAAATTCTCTTTTGGATGAAAAGTAACATCTGTTATATCTTTTTTCTAATAACACTGTTGGGGATTTTTTGATATAATATTTAGTAAATTTTATTTTTATAAAACCCCTAAATAATCCAAAGAAAAAGAATAAAATATCTTTGTGATTTATTCTTTATAATTAAATTAACCATATTTCAAATTTTATTTATTTAATTTGATTAATTTTTTCTAATTATTAATTCCTATTATCATTTAACCATCTGGGGATGTTGAAAAAGAATTTATTTATTCATAGTATCCACAAATATCCAAAGAAATATTATCCTCTGTATCTACAACGCTCACTATATTTAGTATCTAATATTAATCTAGATTTATTAAAATTGATTCATCTTTAATAAATTTAAGATTGACAATTTAATAATTTGAAATTTTATGAGATTTTTTTAATTACTAATCTTAAAGATTCCAAAATGATATTTCCCCCTTAGAATTTCCTGATATAAATAAAGTATTGCTGTTTGAAAATGAAACAAAAGTAATATCACTTTAATCCTTTAATTAATAACTACATTTCTTTAATTAACTTGTAAAAATATCAATTTACTAAGATCTACCTAGTGCTATTTATTCATTATTTTAAGAGAATGTACCACAAGTAAATCCTTAATCTAGGGTATTCTTTATCATGAATTGATTTATCTAATAGATTATCACAAAACATGAATTTTCTTTTTATAATTTCAAAAATAACTATTAATCATCATTAACAAATGATAAAGAATCTATTTTGTAATTTAATATTTCACTTAAAATAAATTCTAATTTATTATTAATATAATTCCATAATTAAACTATGTAGATATCTGAATCTTTTAAGACTATTGCAATTTTACTACCATTTGATGAGATTGATAGACACAAAATTTAATGATTTAGATTAAATTATTAGATCTTATTTGTAGAAGTATTCATAATTATCAGATTCTCAAATTCTGTAAATATTAAAATTTCTTTAATGGGAGTGAAATACATTTAATTAGGGTTAAATTAGAGTTTAGGCAATTCAACTTTTTGAAAATTATTCTAAATATCCCAAATTGATATTGAATCCCCATTTATTATAGCCATAAATTAACTATCATATGAAAAATGAATCTAATCATCAACTGAAAATTATTAATTTAATTCAAATATTTATTTCCAATTTTATGTTTCATAAATATAACAATTTTAATGAGAATAAATAATAAATAATTTTCCATTTGGTGAATAATTAAAAAATTAGAAATATGTTAAATTCTCTTTTAATTTTATTTATTGACTTTAAAAAGTGTTTAAATCCCAAATTAATAGTTGAGAATCTTCATAGCCAACAGCTAAAAAATTATCAATTGGGGAAAAACATAAATCTTCAACTATTTTTTAATTATTAATTAATTCTTAACCTATTGCTAAATCTTTTTCAAAATTAAAAAGAATTATTGCATTTGTTTCAATATGAACATAGGCTATAAGCTAACTTTATGGTTTAAGACTAATTTTAGACCCTAATTTAGCTTTTTCAGTTAATTGCTTAAAAACCTGTATTTCTAGTTCTAGAGTCTGAGATTTATATTGATCAAATCTATAATTTATTAATATTCTGCTAAAATCTTTTGATAATATATATGAAATCCATTATTAATTATTCCATGGAACTGTAAATATTGTTTTGAGTGTATCAAAATCTAATATTTATAATTCAATTTATTGTCCTGACTCCTCATAAAACATTAAAGCTAGTTTTTACCCATCTTAAGATATGTTAATCTCTTTTGGTTAGAAATCAAACTCTCTCTTATTTAAAGATACTTAAGTTTCGAAATTAAATATTTCAATGGCCTTGTTTGTAACTAAAGCTATAATTTAATTTTAGGTTGGAGATAAACAAACTTCTAAACACAAAATTTTCATTATTTCTTTTTAAAATTTCAATTATTCTATATCTCTTATACTGATTGCGTGAAATCCTCCTATAATTAGGCTCTTATTATCAGGAGTAAAATTTAAACAATTAATACTAAAATCAGTTTAAATATCACTACATATATAAGATTAGAGGTCCCAAATTTTTATAGTACAACCGTAAGTGATTGCTAATTATTTTCCATCTTAACTAAAAATCATGTCATAAATATTAGTATCAAAGCTCCCTAATGATTTTATGACTTAATTATTAGTTGAAATTATTGTGATATTGTTATCAGATGATGAAATCACTAAGATTGAATCAACAGGAGACATTACGTAATTGATTATTTTTGAATCATATTTCCAAATAATATTTGTGTCGATTTTATCTTCAAATAATTGATTTGCTTGTAAAATTTTAAATTTTTTATCAGTTTTAATATATAATTTACTACAATCTTAAGATAATTCAAATTTTAAAATGTTCTAAGATAATTGAGTTTATTTCTGAGTAAATTCTGGTATATCCCATTTAGTTATAAAGCCATTTTCACTACAACCAAGAAAAAAAGAAGAATCAGAAGAAAACTAGACATATTTAATGAGCCAAGAACCATCATGAGTTATATCATATAAGAATTTATAATTTGAAGGATCCCATAATTTTAAAATACCACTTTCTCCTAATGAGACTAAATATTTACCATCAGGAGAAAATGATAAAGTCTAATAACAAGATTCCTGTCCTGTTAGAAAAGGTTATTCTTTGCATATAACATCATCCCAAAAAATGTCAGACAAATTACATTAATTAAAATTGCAAGAATTAATTGTAACATTTTTACATTTTGATCTACTCAAATCACTTTCAAAAAAACTTAATCCAGATATATTTGTATCAGCTAATTATATTGAATCAAATTTTTAAGAACCTAAATATATATCCATTTAACTTAGTAAATAAATAATATTAGAGGCTGCTCTACTAAATTGTATATTTCTAGATTATTATACTATTTCAATCATTTTTTAATTTATATTTTCTGTATCATGTAAAATATCTTTTATCATAGAGCAGGCTCCCCTAAAAGCATCATTGCTAATATTAAAAGAGGGTGAATTAAATAATGAATTCTTTAATCTATCTAAATTAGCTAATTCTTAATCAGTAAATTGATGATTTTAATCTTAAGGACAATTTTCAAGTGAAATGATAAAATTGTAAATATATTATGCAACCAAAAATTCTTAAATAGATTTATGAGTATATTAGTAAGTACTTCCCTTTGAGCTAAGCAATATACAACTTCTAATTAATTTCTTATATTCATTATCTGAAGATGAATTACTTAAATATTGATCTAACCAATCATCTACATCCTAAGTTGCTTTGTAATTACTTTATAAAAGCAATTATCCTTTATATTTATAACTGATTTATGATAGATCTCTTATTGTCATATCTAAAGCTAATGATGAAGAAAACTAATAGATATCAAGAGCAAAACTTTCATAATTTGAAATTTTGCCTAATTCTCTTTGTTTTTGAATTTATTATTCATGATAAAAATTAATGAAACTCTCATAAAACTCAAAAGCAGTAAATTTTTTCATTTTCAATGCCATTACAATTATATCAGCATCTATTATATTTAAGTATAAATTTTATCCATCTAAAAAAATATTCCCTTCAAATGAATCAATTTTACTATCAATTGAATAATTCTAAAAAAACTATTTGCTTTCAAGTATATCCATATTATGATCAATTTTCTTTTTTTTTAAATTTCTCTTTAGTTTTGAATTTGTTTTTAATGATTATAATCCTTCAGATTAATTGTTCTATTCTATTTAATTTTATTAATTTTATAATAAAGATTGTCTTATCTTCTTTGAAATTTTAGCCCTCTTTTTCAACTATAGATAATTCACCTTAAAAATTTCTTTAATTTTTGCAGATCCTTGATATTTCTTAGTCATTGTTGGTAAAACTTATACAATAATTTCAAGCATAAATGGAGTAGTCAAAAGATGTTAAATATTTACTATTTCAATAGACTTTTTGAATTTTTTTACACTCCACAAAGATAAAAGATCTTTTCTTAATCCTGTTATTTATTCATCTGATAAAAATTAAAATAATTATTATTATTTCAATTTTTTAATTATAATCTCTTCTTCTTCATCTACAAAAATTGAATCTGAATCACTAATTTTTGAATTTAATAACATCTATTTAACAGGATTAATAATTGAATTCCATATTTTGATAAATTCTCCTAAATCGAAAGTTTAACCAGAAATAGATTTAACAAATTCATAAATTCCTCTAATTGTCCTCTTTATACTCAATTTACAATATTTTTCTAAATATTTATCTTATTATTCCTGATTGAAATTTAACAATAGAACTTCTTTTAATGTTTGTAAACTCTCTCCATAAAACCATGACTCATAACCATCAGAATTTAATATTTCTCTTCTTGTTGTAATTATTATTTTAACTTGCCTATCTTTTTTTTCTATATTAAGATCTTATATTAACTTATTTGTCATTATAAGATTCTATTAAATACAATCTGATTTCATTTCATCATAGCTGTCCAAAATTAATACAACTTTTACTGCTCTTTTACGAATTGCCTCTTTAAATTCTTAAATTTAATATTTATCAAATTAATAATTCTCTGTTTCTAGAGCTTAATCCAATAGATTATATTTTGGATTCTTCAAAGTTGGTAGAGACACATAAATTGGAATCCATTCAGATTATGCTCCTTATGATTTCCAAATAAATTCCTCTATTTTTTTTGCAGATCTACTCTTCCCTGAACCTGCATAACCAGATATTATCATAACATCCTTATCTTCTGCATTTTCTGTACCTAAGTTTTAATGCCATATAAATTCATTCACTTCCCCATCTTTGTCCTAAATTGATTCCTTCAGTAAAAACGATCCTGCTACCTCTTCCCCACTTAAAGGATTCCTTTCGATTGTCTATAATTACACATATATGGAATCTACTTTTTATTATTAAGCTTATTAAAGGATCTTTTGTTTGCGCATTACAAGAAGCTCTTCGAATTTTTTACCTCTAAGTTTTCTAATGTCATTTCCAATATCCTAAATGTTGTTTTATAAGTTATCTATTGAAGTTTTAATAGATTTAACATCTGTTAAGATATCTTTTAGAAATATAAGGGATATATTCAAAGCATCTGACATTTCAGTTACATTTTCTATTGAATCATCAAGTTATTAATAACATTATTTTAATTATAATTAAAGTTTATCTCTTTCTGATGAATTTCCTTGCAATCTAATTTATTATTGTAAGTTTTCTAAGTCTTAAATTTTCTATTGAATTTCTTCTTTTATTTAATCAGACATTGTTTAAAGATCTCTTGAAAAAATTTATCTTTGCATTTCTATCAATTCTTTATTTTTCAATAAATTTCTTACTCGTTGATCTTTTTCATAAACCCAAATTTATTATATTCTTCTTGATGAAAAGTTAATTATTTAATTTTCTAAATTGCTATTTTGAAGTCTAATTAAATTATAAACTAAACATTCTCTTACTTTATAGTCCTTTGCTTCAATTAAACTTTCAACTTCATTCTTTTTCTAATTAAAATAATCTTTTATTTCTTAAATTAATGCAATATTGATTTCATCTCCAACTTCATTTTCATTTTAATCATCATGAATTTCCATTTCAAAAAATGTTAAAAATTGTATCAATGTTAAATTAATATCAATATTTTTTTATTAGTTATTTTGATCTACAATAGAATCCTTTAATTCAACTAGATATTTTCTATTTAAATTATGAAAATTTTTAATTTTCTCTTTAAAATTATATAAAGTATTAGCATTTTATTTTTAATTATAGATATCTAAATAAATTAATAAGAGTTTTTGATAAGATTAAAAATAATTTTTTACTCTTTTAATTGTTTTAATTATCTTTTAATTCTCTAAAATCTAGTTTTCAAAAATATCAATTCCAAAACCTTAGACATTTTGTTTTGATTACGCTTCTATATCTTTTTTCGAACTAATTTTTTACTCTACCTCTTAAATAAAAGTTGAAAAATTGATTTTTAATTTTCTCAATTCCTCCAATAATTCTTCTTTTGGATCTTAATGTTAAATTTCATTAGGTTGTTTTTCTTAAACAACTAAAGCAATTTGTTTCTATCTTATATCTTGTGAAATGCTTATAATTTCATTCATTTAATTGAAAAAAATAATGAATATCACTTAAAAATTATGCAATAAATTTTTTGTTTGCTCTAAAAATTGTTCATTCTTTTATTATTCAAAATCATATATTATTTCTTATTAACTATTTTCTTATAGAAAATTTGATATATTCTTAAGTTCAATCTTAATAGCTTAAATATCTGATTCGATCTCTGAATCAATCTATTTAAAATTTTACTTTAATTTATTTATATTAAAATCTAAATCTTTGTCAATTTAATCTTAATAGGTAATAATATTTTATTCTTATTTTTTTAAACAATTTATAAATTTTTAGTAAATATCGGTTTCAGCTATCTAAGTTTATTTCTTTGTTGAATCTTAATATAATAAAAATTTCATTTTCATTCTTTTTATGTTCTCTTATTATATTTCATAAAATTATTTTAAAGAAACTAGTATTGAAATACTGACTTCACATTTTAATATTTTATTACTTATTTCATCATTAGTTTCTAGATTATCATTAATAAATTCAAATTTATCTTCAAATTAAGATTTTAAAACAGATTCAAATTTTCTAATCCAACTTCCTTCAATAATTTATTTGAAAAATTAATTTATATCTATTTTTTTAATATTTGGATCATTTATTATAACTCCAGAATCAAGAGCATTCTAATATATTTCTAAGTTTTTAAGAAATGTATCGAAATCATTAAATTGTAAATTCTTAAAATTTTTCATTTCGTATTTTAAGTGGATTTCGTTAATTTCTTGCTAAATGTCATTTTTATTATAATCAAGGAAAACTATATTATTAATGTAATCTGTTGCAATTAAGAAATCACTTATGAAATTTGATTAATATTCTGGAAATTTTGTTTCAACAAAGCTCTAAATTTCATTAAAGTTACTACGAGATTTTTGATTATTATCTTCTTATTCTTTTTTTAAGTTGTTTTAGTATAGTTGAACTTTTTAATAATCAAATAATAAGAAATCATTTATCAAATTAATGAGATATATTGCTTTTTTCCAAGTATTCAAAAATTTGTTTGATATTTATTTTTTATGTTCTTCAAATAATTATTAAGATAATAACGTTTTTTCTACTTAAGTTTAATTTATTAAGGATTCTTCTATTTCAAGTTATATTACTTATATTTAATCGATAAGTGCTCTTAATTGTTTAAATAATTTTTCTAATAATCCTAATTCACGGTTCACTTGTATGAAATTAAACTATTTAGAATCTTCTTATTCACTTATATTGAAATGAAAGTTCGAATAATAATCCCAAAAATTTTATTCTTTTGCGAATTATTGTTCGATCAAGCTTGAACAGAGAAGTTAAAGCTTATTATATTGATTTAAAATTGAATCTTCCAAAATATTTGGCTATGTATCAAAAAATAATAAAATTGCTTAATTATGATTGAAAGGTAATTTTTAAATGGTACCAACATTTTTTTATCTTTCTTATAGTATTTATTATGATTCTTTCTCTATTATTAATCTATATAAAATGATATCTGTTATGGTTTAAATCCAACAGAAATGTAAAATCCAATTATTTGATCCTTTTATGTATTTATTAAAGAGAATTTTTAAATTCTATATTGATTAATAGACAGATTCAGTCTCATCTTCAATGATTTTCCATTTTATTATTTAAAATAAATGATAAATTTGATATACTTCTATTGGATATAAAATTGTTTAATTGATTGCTTTTTTTATTATATATTTTGCACTTTTCTAAAGACTAGACATTAATGCATCAGTTATTTTCATTTTAAGAATTGATTTTACAGTATTTTTAGCTACATCAATCAATAATTTTTTTTCTTATTCAGGATTTGAACAATTTTCTAGCATAATCTCCATCAAAGTTATTTCAAATTCAAGACCACTTTTCCAAACATTATTTGATTAACTTTACAATTATTCAGAGAATATAGAAACTTTTTATAAAAAAGGCATAGGGTCGAAATTTATTGTATTGTGTGAATAAATTATTCTCAATAGGTCATTACAAACTTATGCAATTTAATAACAAAGAAACCAAGAAACCTCTAAATAATTAGGGAGTATTTCTAAGAGTTTTAGTAAATTAGTATCAATATCTGTTTTAATTAATTCATAAGTATATTCTTCTTGGCATAATTTATTGAAAAATTATTTGTTATAAATAAACCATTAGATTTTTATTATCACTTCATTTTTTTTAGACTAACTAACTAAACTACTTGATCCTTCTTGAATAACAATCACAGATTAATCAAATTCTTCTAAAAAATTATTCGGCAATTTTTCTGATTAAATGTTTTTTTGATCAAGATTTTGTTCATTATTTTCATTTGTAAGAATCATTTCCTTATGCTCTGGAAGCTAATCAGATGTACAAAAATTTGATAATCCACATCCTCCTCCCCTTAATTAGAAAATTTCTGGTTGATTTTCAAGATTTATACATAGTAATGAGATATTTCGATTTGTGATATTATTAGAAATATTATTTTATGTAAAGAATCTCATTACGATTTTTTAATTGTAATTTTATGCCAAATTGAATACTCTGCCTCTCTTTTTTAACATAATTATTATGTTAAAAAAAAATTAAATTATTCATCTTTTATGATAGACAAAATTTATAACTCCTTATAACTTATAAAACCTAATAACATGAAAAAATTATACTTATCTTTCCTCTTCTAAATGAGATTATAAAGATTATAATTGAATGAAACATTAGTACTTTTTACTTGATTCTTAATTTAAAAGCCTACTTTATATTATATTATAATAATTATTTAGCTCTATTTTGTAATAATTAGAAATGATTTCATACTTCTCTCAAGTAATTATCAAATTCAATAACTGATTCTTTCTATGATTATAAAAATAAACTTGAAAATCAATGAATTAAAAAATTATATCAATACATTAATTCTAAGTATTTATCAAATTAATTTAAGTTATTGTATTTAATTTTTTATCACCTCGGTAATAAGTTTTAGCTGAATGTATATTTGGGAACAAATTTGTTTATAAATGATTTTAAAATAATTTATATATTGATATGATAATATTTTTGTAAAATCATCTAAAATTATATATTAAATTTATTTTTTTATTTGAACATTTTTAAATCTTCTAAAATATAGTTTTTTCATCTAATAGAATAATATTAAATCTTAATTAATTGATAAATAATTTAGAATCAATCTATAACAATAAGTAGAATAATATATAACTTTAATAAATATTTAATTTACCATTTAATTATCAATAAAAATAAATATAAAGTAGTTTTATTAAAATCAATTAATAATTATAAGTAGAAATATGTTTAACTTTGCATAAATCTTTTATTTTTCAAATATTTTTCAATAAAAATGATACAAAATTTAAGTTTTTGTAAAAACCAAAATTTTAATATTTTCTTATTCTGTCTTCTAAGTGAAGCTAGGTTGACTCCTGATAAGTCTTTTTTAATAGTACTCTTTTCTTCGATTTTTCTTGAATATCATTTATGTCAATAGCATCACTTGCCTCTTGATCAACAAAATAAAATTGAGATAAGGGGTTAGAGAAATCAGCATCTTGATTAAATCACGAAATAGTATTTTAAGAAAATAAGTTAAGTAAATTTATGTAAAATTTCTATTTTTATTCAAATCAAGAAAAAGGATAATTTTTTAAAGAAAAATGAGCGAAGTAAATATATCTTTATAGATCTTTGCTTTACAACATTATTAAATAAATTAACTTTTATAAATTTTTTGTTCTTTAATTGTTATACAATTTGAATACAGAATAAAGTTCTTGTAAAATAATAATAAACTTTAAATAAATTGTTTGTCATTTAATTATTATAACATTCTAAAATTTATAATTAAATTTTTAACAAAATCATTTAATCATTATAAAAACAGATATACAACTTTAATATTATTATTATTTCTTACACAAAAGAAAACTGTAGTTTAAGTATTTTTTCTTTAAGAATTATAAAATTTGAGTATATATCATAGTTATTAATAGAAAATTTATTAGAAATATTTACATCTAATCTTAAGGGAATTTATTACAGACCTCTCAAATGATATTTATTGTTATGAAAAATAATTGTTATCTTTACCAATAAACTAGAATTATAAAATTGATTATTATATGATTGATATTGAATGAATTGGCTAATTTCAAATTTAATAGAGTAATACTTACTGTTCACTATTAGTTTTATCTAAAAATAAAAGGCTTAGCCTAAGTAACATCAAAATTAAGATGTAGATGAATATAACAATTTCTATCTTTTTAAACATATTTAGTATAAATGAAAAATTTAATGGAAAGTAATAATATACATATATTTTATCATTTTTATCTTTAAAAATCAGTAAATTATTAAATTACTTTTTATGATAATGAAAAAAAACATTTATAAAAACAATCAGAAATAATATAATAATCAAAAATTGCTTCTGCTTGAATTTGTGGTTTAATTTATTATAAACTTTTTTGCTAAAGAATTTTGACTGAATCGTTTTAGATTGATTTTTCTAATATTTATTATAGTTTTCTTACTCCTCTGTTAGATATTTATATTTAAAATCATCACATTTGTTCATCATATCTTCCAATTTAAGAATATAATCTTTTTTTACTTCTCTGCTTGTACTTTTATTTAAGTATCTCATATAAGGTTTTTTAAATAAATCCTGGCTTTTCTGATATTATGCTAATAAATCTGCTTCTGTATTATGTTTTGTTAAAAGTTTTTATTTTTGAAAATCAAAATGTTAAACAGTTTCATCATCAGATTCAAAATTTTTTGTTGGCTCTGTATAATTTTGGCTTAAATAACAAAATTTAAATACTCTCTCACTTATTGTAATTGATCTTTAACTTATTTTTCATATCGAAATAAATAATCTTTTATATTGTTTTTTATTATTTATCTATATTTATTAAGATCTTAGTTGATTTGGGAATCTTTTAAAGTAATACATTAATATTTTTCTGACCAAAATTCTGAAAAATGAATTCTCCCATTGTTTAAAAGTTATGGTTTATTTTTACTAAATGTATTAGCTTCTTGTTTTCTTTTTTTAAAGATTGCAATAGTGTCTTTTCTATTTTCAAGCTGCTAATCTTTAAGTAAATACTTAAGTTAGATTATAAGTTACAGGTAAAGATAGCATCACATTAAAATTTACTTTACGTTGTTTAGACAACTATTTTAATTTGATGTATTATATTTAGGGAAGAGCTTCAGTTTATGTTGGAGATTTACTATTGCTCATGCTATACTTATTTATCTAAATTTATATATACTTCAAGATTCAACAATTAAAATTTATATATATTTAATTATTAAATTATATAGCAACAACCTATAAGAAATAGATGAAAAATTAAAATTCAATTTCATTATCTCCAAGGTATCAAATATCAATAAGAAATCTAATAAAAATTAAATAATAACCAGAATAAGATGACAAATTTTAGACTTGGTAATAAATAGATAATTATTTTAATTATTTTGCTCAAGAACCATAATAATTAACATTAAATGCTTCTAGAACATCAATAAAAGTGGATCAATAGGTTAATTAAACATATTTAGAATATTTTAATAAAAAGTAAAAAGAAATGAAACATGATGCATTCTCTAATATTATTAAATCATGCAGCGAATACTTTATAGATACATTATATATTGCATTGATTGGGGATTCATTAAATGATAAATATGATAAAATTGGTACGATCTCATAAATATTGATTGGTTTTGGTATATAACCTGGAGCATTAAAAAACTTAAACGAAAATGAAAAAAGGGAATATATAATAAAAAAGTTTCACAATACTATTGATGTTTTACTTGAGAAATGGAAGGAAAAAGTTGAAAGTCGATAACAATAATAAATTACAACAAAGGTTGAAACCAAAATTTAACCATAACCTTTAAAATGGTTAAATATCAATACAAAATATCAATCACTTAAAATTCCTTTAGCATAAGTGTTATATCGAAAATTAGATGAATTGCATGAAATCTAATAGATGATAATTAAATAACAATAAATAAAATTAAATGATATCACTAGACCAACAATTTTGGAATTGATAAAAAGAATGGATCCATAAATAGGTAAACTATTTATATCTTTGAATTCTTCAAAAAATATTGAAACATCAAAAACAAATAAAAAATAGGAAGTCTTACAATAAAATAAAATAATAAAAACAATGTAGAAATTTTAATGGGATGAAGAATTGGAAGGTGCATTTTTAGAGAATAGACAAAAAAGTTAAAATAAATATGCTAACAAAATTGCAACTTGTAATTTTAATATTATGGGATATTTACCATTAATATAAACATTAAATAGAAGATAGAGTATTAGATCTGGTGGTAATGAAGATGAAGTTATATATGAAGAAATCAAATTTGCAAAATCATTCAGCAAATTTCTTGCAAGATGTGTAGATAGAAAATAGTTATAAAATGCTGTTAATTTAGTTGATAAAGATTAAATTTCAGCTTTAGAAGGTAATTTAGCAGAGCATATTATTGAAACTCATTAAAGCATAGTCAAAATTATATAATAAGCTAGACATTAATTTTTAGTTAAGAGAACATAGTACTTAAGATTAAAAAGTGAAGAAAGAGAATTTAATTTGAAAAGATAATAAAGAAAAAAAAGTGAAAATTAAGAAATGAAAATTAAGATCAAAAGATATGATATGATTTATAAAAGAAATAAGAATAGAAATTTTTTTGTAATATATTTTGCAAATATTGTTATGAATAAGATTAGATAAAGAAGAAAAAGGTTATAACCAAAGATGTTTTAGTTTAAAATATATTAAAAGAACAACAAAAAATGTTCAAAATCACCAACTTAAGAACAAAGACAAAGATGCATTACTGAATTTTCAACAGGACCTACAAGATTCAAACCAACAAAATTGTAAATGACAACAAGAGTTATTGTTAAAATTTAAGCCTTAATCAGGAGATTTTTGGCTTAAAGATTCTACAAAAAGTTAATAAAGAATAAATTAAAAAAATTGTTAAAGATTTATAAACAAAATATAAAAGTTAAATTTTGATAAAAATATTAGATCATAATTTTTCATCAAGAATTTACTTAATATCCTTTGTATGGATTGGTTTTTATAAAAAATAACTCATCCCTGATTCATAACAGAATGTCTTTGTTAAAGAATCTGTATATGCAGTTTATGCTATTATTATTGGTTTTTGTAAATCATTTTATTCACAAAACTAAAGAATTTGTTTAGTTGCTGTAATTCCATTCATATTTGGCATTTCTATATCCATAAAAATTAGCTAATATTAATTTTGCATAAATTTATCTAATGCTTCATAGCCATTATTTGCTACATCACATAAGTAATTTAGCCTATTTAACATTATCTTTAAAGCATAGATGTTCACAAATTCATCATCAACAATTAATATTTTTGTTGAAATAGAAGTTCCTTCATTTATATCTATTTGTATCAATGGTTTTTAGCATCCTTATTTCATAATATAAGGATTGATTATACAATCAAATTTT